CAGAACCTTAAAAAGGTGCTATAAAACAACTATCCTATCTATACCTAGTTTGTTGACTATAAATAAAATAACTATTAATTGAGGGAGAGACTCCTAAGGGTCGTTTACTATGGGTTTCATAAGAAGGCTCAAAGTCACCCAGCAGGCAGTGGAGAGCAATACATGGTGTTTCCCTATGTGGTGGAATAAGAAACGACTATTACGAATATCCGTAGGAGAACTAACGTAACCGACATCGCTCGAAGGATTGCTCTGCTTAAGTGGCAGTAGGCGGGACACAGCGAGAAGAATTGATGGCCATTGGGGCGGGAAAGTTCTTGAATGGGCCTCTCCCAATCAGGTGCACCGATGATCTAATAAAGGTCGCGAGGGCATATGCCCAGCAGTAGACCTCGAACGGCTGATTTAATAATGAAGATGATGATGATAATAATGATGATGATGATGATGAAGGATGTTAGAAAGAGATGAATGAACACAGAGTATAACCCCGACTGTGTTCATTCATCTCTTATATACAAGCAATTATACAACACGTATGCCCATTTATCCAAGGTCGCGATTATGCGACTTGCGTTGGGTAGCACAGGAGAGGTGTAAGCGGGACGTGCGCTCGCATCGCTCAATTGTCTTTCAGTCGCCTCGTTAAGTTGAACGTTTTAATGTTATCCAACATAACTGATAATGCTTGTCATACTGTTACAGTATAAATCTACATGTTTTCATATAATACACATAAACATTACTAATTACATATTTAAAAATTTAAAATATCGTTTTATATCAGAGTAGTTTAATATAGTCCTTAATATCCGAGGTCGGTTTGGTTCACATTAACTCAATATAACCATGGTTCTTCTGCAGCCTTTCCTAAAGTGGGTGATAACGCCCTCTTGTGGGCGCTGCAGATCTTAATGGGGGATAAGAGAACGAGAAAAAAAAATGGGGGCGTTGTATAGAGGCTTAGAAGAGTTAATTTGAAACTTGTATACTACCTACTGCGTTCAGGTTTCAAATCAACTTTTACCGGTTATAATTCATCTCTAATATAACAATAATTAATTAAATTCGAAATCATAGTAGTTGTAAGTATTCGAAAAATAAAGGCGCTAAACACTATTTATTCTCAAAGGGGGCAGTGGACTAAATAAGTTTGAGAAATTTAAAATCATAGCAGTTTTTAGTAGAATAAAGGCGCTAAAAATTATTTAACACAAAGCGGGCAGTGGACTAAAAAAGTTTGGGAGCCCCTGTACTACTGTACAACGATACTTACGCTGGCCGTGAGCGACAGGAACGTGTAGTACTTGTTGAGTGTGGGCAGCAGAGGCGCGTACGTGGGCACGCGCGCGCGCACGGCGGCCGCGTGCTCTGGCCCCGCCACCGCCACGTGCCCGAGCAGCAGCGCTATGTACGCGCCCACCATCGTGTGCTCCATGTGCGTGCCCGCGCGCGACAACACTGACACAACACACATCACGCTCATTAATAGTAGTTTTTAACACCTTTGCTCGTAAAGCTGATGTAACTCCACCGGTTTTAAATTTATGTAAAGCGGGTCATAAAAAACGCGTGTGTTACCAAAGCAAATAGTTAAGTTTATAGTCCATACAAATTCCATAACAGTATTATTTGCCATTTCGCGCCCTGTTGCTATTCAAATTTCGAACTAATCGCCGCGCGGCGCCAGCCAGTAGGCATCGCTAGTGCGCTGTTAAAATGACGGGAACGTAACAGTGTACATTCACAGATTGAGTTTATTTAATGTTTTTTTTTCTGTTTCGTCGCAAATGTGTTAAAAACGTCGTACGATATACGTGCGTATTGGTTATAACCATCATAACGCACTAATATCGTAATGTGCTATTATGATACAGTTGGTGGTACTATAATGAGTTTTATTTTTAATTTTATGTATATGCGTTTCTAAAGTGCGTATTTATAGAATCGTCTTTGAATTCGTAATTCGAATTTTTCGATTTGAGTGTAGATAAAACACTATTACGTTTTATGTGCAAATGTACTGTTTATAAAATACTTCAAGCAGTAATTATATTGTATTTGATAGGATAAAATCGCAATAATCAAAGAATTTATTTGTTTAAGAAAACCAACAGCTAAAACGTGGTTGAGTTAATTAGACAAATGTAACTTAAATTAAGCCAATAACAGGTTTCCATAGATATTAAACAATATCATCAAAATGTTTTCACTTATCAACTATATATATAAAAAAATGGTCATATCTACTGAACTTTATTTGAGAATAAGCAATTAACATTTATCAGAAAACGAATTAAAACTCAATATATATGTAAATTAATTTAAGAATTAATTTTTCCTTCCTCCCTTTCACTAGATTGAAAATTTTGCTGCTAAATCAAAATGGCGCAGTAATCACGTGAGTTTTCTTTATGCTTTTTTTAAGGACTGAATATTGTAGTAGTCTAAAAAAATAACTATCTCTATATCGGCAACAAGGAAACATCTTGATGAAATTTATAAAAGTTTTCCTCGTGTCCCTTAAAATATTTATTCAAAGTATAAGCGAATTACCATATAAACAATTTAAATATAAACTGCATGCATCGCTAGTTTAAAAAACCAATTAGGTATATTTTAAAGAATATTTCGTCACGTCACGCCCCGGTTCTATGTATGCATAAGGTTGAATTCTCAAAGTTCTGAAATGAGTAAGAGGAGCGTGACGTCACGCGCTGTTTGATGTGACGAGTATAGATATTTGGTTTTCATAATTAATCTAAGCAATATTAAAAAATATAATACGCATAAAACTGTGATTATCGGTAATAGTATAATAAACACTACCACAAAAAAATATATATTTTCGTTTACTGTCTACACCCGTATTGATCGGGATAGGTGTAAGGACGCCAAAATTAGAAGGATGTAGAAAGCCACAGAGAGCTGAAACACAACTTTCACGATCAATTGATCGCGTGCTTTTGTAATGCCATAAAAACCAGCGAGAACGCATGAAATCTTGTGGGGCTTGATCCCCTGACTCTCCCTCAAGGAATCGATACATCGTCAAGATATCGAGAAATATATATCTCACATTGATATACCTAAATAAAGTATAATAATTTTACTTACACTTAGCAACCGTTTCATCAATGTCATCTTGAGATTGTTTCTTGTCTTTTTCTCCATCTAGAATGGCATCTGTGTTTTCTTCTGCCCTCCTAAAGCAAAATATATTATTTATTGTAAAAATATGCTTTTAAATCATATTGACCATAAAATTAAGAACAAATTAAATGTTTATTAATATAAAGATAGACTGAAGTTTCATTATGAACTTAGCATAGTCAGGTTTAGGTTAGTTATGGAATAATTAACAAAATTATATTAACGTAAGTATTAGTACACTTGTCTCTAATTGCAAGTAGACTTCGTATTTGAACCATTTCAAATACGAAGTCACACAAACATATACAAACATATTTTTCTTACTTGGCCAGATCATCTCTTTTGTGGAACAGATCTACAATGAGATCGAGTGCAGAAACGTGCCGCGATATGATGTCGTCATCATTATCGATGCGCACTTGCGCATTCAGTAAATGCTGAGTATTTACATCATTATTCTGCACCAAATTTATCAGTAGTAACAGCACCTGTGATCAAATATTACATTTTATTTGGTTAATAATAATAATTTCCTTCACAATGAGTCAAATGTGTGGTAATGAACAATACTTACACAAACGCTGAATTCAAAGTTCCTGTCGTCTGGGATGAAGTTGTCTTGGTTATTCAGTATGATGAGGCAGATCTCTATAACAGCCGGCTGCTCTCCCACTACTTGTGCGCCACGTGATACTGTTAAAATTAAATATGACACTGAATATAATATCACAAGAAAAAAACAAAACTTGATATTAGTATAAAGTAAGTAGTTAGTGCTTATGTATGAATCATCTACATTATTTATGGTTGACTCTACATTCCAACCAAAGTCTGAATTACGTAAATGTAAAATAGATTTACTAAATGGCAGCAATGTATTATTCATACAATTTACTATTATTATAATATTCGAAATATAATATCCCATAACAAATAACGTCTTACTTTGCAGTAATTTTTCTGTTTCGTATTCAATGGTAAGGAAAACTTTTAAGCAAATATATAGTAAATTATACAGCTTAGACTAGAATTGGTTATTTGACAACTCACTCGTAGCTCCAAAGGAATGGGAAAGATTAACGAGAACTTTGATAGCGGGTAGAGCTGCATCTAAAAGAGGGCCCCTTAGTTCCACTGCTGTTCTCGCTTCGCCCGCACACCGCCTTAGGAGTGACGCCAAAGTGCGCGGCGCGCCTAAAGTCTCACTCACAAGGTACAGCTGGTTATCTTCATTTTGTTGCGTCACCTGGAAATTTTAATTATTTACTAGTAGCAGTGCATTTTTACTGTTTCATTCAACTGCATGGTTGTGATGAAATTAAAAAGCATTTTGAAATTCGATACTTTTGTTATGAATGTTATATGTTATGTGAGTTTTTCCAAAAGATACAGGGACATGTATCTTATCACGACTGACTTAGATGATTATATTGGGACGGATCGAGAGAATTTATAAGACGCTTTGAACCAACCACGCACTTTTAATTAATCCTATCATTACATTAACACTGATACCTAAATAATTAGTTAGGGTTCTAGACTTCAAAATATCCTAATTTTCATATGAGTCATAAAAGGCTAATGTACTTTTGGAGCCGGAGAGTATTTATTTCAATAATTAATATGTATTACAAATTGAACTATGTTAAGTAGTTTAAATGTCAATGTAATTTTTTTATAATGAGGAAGTATTTAAAAAAACGAAAGCACTAAAAAAGCACCTCCACTAGATGGCGACTCTAGCAAAAGTTGATTTTTGCAGGAAACAAATGGACCAAAGACAGACATTTCCATTCCTTTTAACATATTAATAAATTGAAATTTGAAAAGTTCGAAACTTAGATATCCATACTAATATGAAAAAGTACAAATTGATATTTGTTTATTCAGTTTTGAAAACTAATTTACTTTTAAACTTGAAAGAAAACCGGTAAGGTTATCATGGAGCATCAAGAATGTACCGTAGCGACATCTAGTTTTATTTCGAGAACATTTTTTTTTATTAATACTTCCTCATTGCACGATAAGTGTTTGGTAATATTTCATTAACAATTTTTATGCCAGTGTTAATTATATTGTTAAGACTGTATAGCGTTAAAGTTAAATTATATACTCACGTTCTCCAAGACTCGCATGCAACGATCGGCCTTCCTGAGGACATCGACGTCCGCATTGGTCCATGAAGAGGCCGGAGTCTCTAATCGGTTCGCGCAATCTTGTATAGTGCGTACTATATGATCTACACCTCCTAACACTCGCAACTCTTCTTTGAACCACTCGCCGGCCCGTTTAGATGTCAGGGAGAGGAGTGTTTCCATCGCTAGATGGCCCACCTATTTAAATAGTAAATCAAATAGTTATTTGAATCTGTTGGTTTATACAGGTGACCAGAATTGCGATATATTCCTTGCAAGGGTTGAAAATAGAGCTTGAGAGTTGGCAACAGTTAAATGGACCCTTGTACATACTTATGTTTATTCTTTTGTTTTCCGAAAGAAAAAAATTGTGCTAAAAAAAAATCGAAAGCTAAAAATTGACATTTTACAGAAAAAAAAAATACAATAACCCACAACTTTGTACGCAAACAATAAACCATTTTATAAACAAGGGAGTATGTTTTTTTACTTTATACTAGTAATTTTATAAAATAAATTCTCTATAATATATGTTATTGTGATGTCATTGAGCAAATCTTTTAATTTATACATATGTTCTTGTTTATTTTATTTTAGATAATTTTCATTAACAACCATCATACAATTTTATCTACTTACAGTAATATTATCCAGATCTAGATGCTGCGCCTTTCCTTGGCTCTTAATTTCAGCACAGAGCTCTCTGACACGTTCCTGCGTTTTTGCGAGTTGTGCTGATGTAAGGCCACAATCATCAAGAGCGTTCCTGTAAATTGATTATTATTAGTATATATAAACAAATGCAGTTAAGTCTTCCTCTGTATAAAAATAATTTAACTTAATATTATGTCTTTGTAAAATATTACACTTCACTTACTTATGAGAAACATCAGACTCGAGTAGATTTAACATAAGCTCCAGTGATTCACGGTCCAGATCCATATTAAGTCGATCTTGTGACAGCACAAACATCACCGTAGCAGTACAAAGACCTAAGCTCTGTAAGAAAAAATTAAGTAATGTGTTTAATTTATAAATGCATAATTTTCATAATCAAAAGTAAGAAGTAGAATTGTTTGACAATTGTTTAAAGAATATTTTGAAATGATGTTCCGTGTTTCCGTGTGTCTGTGTTTCTGTCATTTCAAGTACTGATACGTCAAATGGTCCCATAGTTTTGATTTCTATATGAAAAAGGATATGATGACACTTTACCTCATAATTCTCTTTTATTTTTTTGCTGACTTTAATATTTTTCTAAAAGTTATTTAAGACCATCTTCTATGAACTTTTTCATGGAGCTATAAAGGGCCTAAGACGAATGCAACTTTAGATTTTACCACTCTTATAAATGTGTTAATTATATTGACACATTTACTGATCCAGTACTTCTTTTAAGTCAAGTCTTATGGACAATCTAATCTAGATATCACCATTAAAATATTACCTGGTCATTGGTGGCGTCATGCAGAGCACTGAAAAATTTCTGCACAATGCCATGAGCCCGAAGGTGCATGCGGAACGCCGGTGCTGTGCACTTACTTGCGAGCGTGATAGCTGATAAACATCGAGTTGACATTGGATTGTTATCCTAAAACAAAATAAAAATTAGAGCAATGTATTAGTATAAAAGCAAAGTAAAATGGAGCTAAATAATAAAGTATTTCTTTTATTATTTTATATAATAATATTACAATATTATAAGAATATATCACAACAAGTAAAAGAACAGAATAGATGGCGTGACCAAGTAATTTCAGAGTTATTAGTTAATTTTCTTTAACCTGTAAAGCATCCAGCAGATATTCTACATCATCATTCAACTCTTGGAACTCTCCTATTTCTTGTATCTGATGTGCTTTCTTCACATTTCTCACAACAGTGTAGAACTGAAAAAAAAATTTGTAAGTAATTTCAAACTTCTTATAATAAATACTTTTGGTAAAGAAAAATTATCAGTAACTACCTCTTTAGCCTCCTTAGCACATTTGACACTAGTGTAAGGTTTAACTGGTTCAGTATTATCAAGGTCAGTGATGGGATCTGGTGCCTTATATCTTGTCACTCGTGTTAACTGTTCAGGTACTGGATTTGTAATGGCAGGTGTTTCTGGATTGTCAGGCTGTTCTGGTCTAGGAGTCTCATTCCCTTTCTAGAAGCAGATAAAAGCCAATATTATAGAAAGTGTTTGTCAATTGAATAATAATAATTTAAATACATAATTATGAAATAATATCTATGAAAATTTATTTGTTAATCTTTATGACATTGATATAAGGAAAATGGTCTAAGAATTATAAATAGAAACATATAACAGAACTTATTAATCCCATAAACTTAATGATAAAAATCCATTGTTAAATTAGACAAACAAAATTGAATCAAACATAATAAAGTCAAGTTGTATAGATCAGATTTTTATAAACAAATAATAATTCACCTTATTATAGAATATAGGTACTTACATCATTAGCCCACTCATGTCTATATAAATGACGCCTTTTACGTGCTGGTAATGGAGATGGATTATCATTAACTAGTGATTTGCTTTTGAATATAGAGCCCTTTTTCTTTGTAATCACTAACTTTACACTAGGTTTGTCTTCAGGATGTTCCTCTGATTCACACATCCCTTGGGGTGATTTAAACACTTCATCTTGTTGATTCTTTTGAGAGTCATCTTCTAGGGCATCATTAGGGCAACTATTGTATGCAGAATCTGAAGATTGTGTAGTAGGCTGAAATTGAAACTGCTCTTCATTAGTATTTTCCTGTGAGTTTTCTTCTGCATTTTCTTGTTGTTCATATATTAAATTTCTATCTATTTCTTCTTGTTCTGTGTCCATTTCTGTTTGAATGTTATTTTCATGTGGCAGTTCTACACTGTAATCTGGGCTTGAGTTTTTATTTTTGTGCTTTTTATGAATTTTTACTTTCAGAGTATCAGTTAGTTTAGATTCACTGCCAGAAAGCATGTCAATCAAATCATGTTTCTTTTCCATACTCTCTAGTTCTTTTTCAACTTCTTGATTGGTGTCTGTGTGCTCTGGTGTAGATTGAGGAGGTTGAGTAACATCAGTAACAGTTGCATCTTGCTTCTTTTTACCTCGTCTACTTTCTCTTTTAAGATCATTTACTGTCTTAATTGTTTGCTTATTTGAATAACTCGTTGTAATAGCATCTAAGAAATCGTCATTTTCACTATAGTTAATATTGGGCCTATTTCTCCTTGATCTGCCAGAAGAACTTTCTGGTGGTTTAGGTTCTGGAGGAAGTTCTTTAGGTTGTACCTCTAGTCTAGGAGACTTTGACACTGGACCTGTAGAATCAAGTTTCTCCAATTGTGACTCAATATCATCAAATGCTGGCGTTTTACTAGTTACTTTACTGCTACTCTCCTGTGATGGTGATGCAAGAGTTTTATAAAGGTCATAAGTGTCTGTTCCTGGTTGTGGAGATGTAACTTTCTTACCAATGTCTTCTTCAACAATTTTGTGATGACGTTTATGTGATTTGTGTTCCTTTTTCTCTTTTTTCTTTTCCTTTTTAGTCTCCTGGTTAAGAGAGGAACATTTGATTGTTATTTTGAGACCCTCATGCTTAGGAGAACATATTGTCTCCACTGAAGGACTCTTCTTGTGATCCGAGCCAAAATCAGAATGTACATCCATAGAAGAGTGTCTATCAGAGCTAGGTGATGTTAATCCCTCATTGGAATCTGTACTAACAATTCTAGAAGTTCCTTTTGATATTCTAAGCACAATAGGAGGTGGTTTTCTCTCTTCACTTGCTGCCTTACTCGTTGATGGACTTACTACATCTGCCTTTATAGGATTTGGACTACTTATCACTGGACTTGGTTTAGGAGATGGTACCTTAGGTGATGTATTGACTTTAGGAATAAGAGGTTCATAACGACTTGTGAATTCAGGTATTGGACTATTGCTACCATCTTCTGCATAGTTGATTACTTTATCACGATTGCGAACCAAATAGCGTTTATTAGGTGGCTGTGCATTTTGTGATGTAGGATCCTCTTTGCGGGATGCCTTGGTAGCCACAGAGTTTTTCTTTGCCTTAGTTTTCTCAAAACTACGCCTAGGTAGTTCTGGTGATGAAGAATCTCTGTTATACACTCGACTTCTTTTATTAGTTTTCTTTTCTTTACTGTTAGAAGGATGTTCTGGTGATAATGGCGCTGCAGGCACTGGTGGGGCATAAGTGATTTGTGGAACTGGAGGGTATGGTTCAGCATTTCGTGATTTGAAGAATTTCTTGGGTTTTGGAGGTGGTTGTTCAGTCTCAACCGCTGGTACTGTTAGTGGGCTGTTCTGATCTTGTACAGGCTTTTTGAGGATATTATTGGCATATGCTGAAATAGAGACAATGGTTCATATAAAACTGACAAAAATTAACTTAATTCTGACAAAAAGTTGTAATTTAATGACATGACATTCAGATTATAACATGAATAAAAATTGGCACCTACTGATAGTTGTCAATTTTTCTTATGTACTTTAAAAAATATTGAACATATAACATTATGAATTATATAAAAGAATACATTTAGCCTTACCATACGGAGCGCTTCGAATAGAAGTGAAGCTGGTGATACCCCATTTACCCACAGTGCCCGCAGAACGTGCTGCAGATGGGCAATTACTATTTTCTCTAAATAAAGCACTATCCAAGGGCACGGCAACGCTGCCTGCTCGGCCTCTGCCCCAGCGCGACATACTGATAATTTCATCAAAAAAGATGACTATTGCACCTTCTTTTCAATCCAGTCACGTCTAGTGTCAAAACAACAAATACCACATGCCGTACTAAGATTTCGTCACGTATGCCGATCTGATTTTCTTTGATTATAAAAACACTTTTATAAAGAATCCATAACTTTCTTGGATTGGAACGAAAACACAACCCATAAAGATAACACACCCGCCATTTTTACGGGAGCTAAGCACTTTTCTCATAGACGCATTCGTGGGTGTCCACAATTGATGAAACGCGCATGACGTAAATTTATACTATAATTACAATTACCGATATTCTTTGAACTTGTGAGGTAGATAATTATTGTTGATTTTTTACATATAATGACAAATAGGACACAAACTGCGATGTTGTCATCTCATAACACAAGAAGCGCCATATTGGCAAAACAAGGAGAAATAATATAGAACAACCAATCACAGCAATGGAAAGGCGTTTTACTTTTGACACCATAAACTAGGCATGTGTTGATATCGATTGATCAAGATACCGATTCTTTTAGTAAATCATGTTTTTAAATAATTAAATTACTTTCTTTATAATATTCAGAAACTCTAGGCCAGTGATTCTCAACCACTGTGCCGCGGCACTTTTGTGTGCCGCCAAATTTTGCAAATATATAATAATGTCAATATTATTAAATTATATCATTTAAAAAGAAAAATATTTTTAACGTGAATATATATTTAAATCCACAAAAAAATAAATTATTTTATTATTTGCTTTGCAACGCGTTTTCTCTTAATGCCAAATTATGATGAATATGTCTCAAGTCGGCGCACACTTGCCACTTCTGCGTACAAAACGTGTTGTTTTAGTGATAGTTGGGATTCACAAGGTGTTGCATAGTAGTTACTCCACCTTTTCTATCGTTAAAATTGGCAAATGTATGTGATTCGGTTTAATATTAATTTATTTGCATGTAGTGTCAATTTATAAATTTGTAAAATTTGTAAACCAAAAAAGCTTTAAACATATTCTTACAATTTTCCACATCTTATTTGCGTGAATTCGGATTTTCAGCATTAGCCAACATTAAAACTAAAAAAACGATCAAGATTGTTAAATGTAGAAGACGATATGAGAGTAGCATTGTCATTTTTACGACCAAAAATAAAAGAAATTATCAAAAAACATCAAGCTGAAATTTCGCATTAAAAATACTTTTATGATTAGCTTGTAATTAATCCCTTAATAAACGTTTATAATAGTTATTATTGTAGTATATATTAGTTTATTTCGTATATTTAAAATTTTTATCATAAACTATTTATGCAGTGTGTTTGTAGTAAGTAAATAATTTTTATCTTTTTCTTTGTGTGCCGTCAAATTTTGAAATCGTTAAATAGGTGCCGCAACAAAAAAAGGTTGAGAATCACTGCTCTAGACTATTATAAATTATATCACAGCATAGCTGATTAATATTAACTATTCTTGGGATTAAACTCGTTTTCAATTTAAAAATTTAGGTAAAATGAACACTGATGCCTTACCAAAACAATAATAATTCTAATTTTTGCTGTTTGCCTAAGATAAAAAGATGAATGACAAAATCATTAATATTTCTACAAGTTTTTCCAACCAAGGCAGAAACTTGATATTGTGCCCTAACACCCTCCCCCCTCACTCATTTTTGGAATGTATTGTATTATCATGATTTTGACTGCATTTTATACTTTTTACGGATATATATGACCGCTAACGCCACTAAAGACATCTCTGCAAAGAAAACAAAACAAAGTAAGGATTTTCTAAATATTTTTATACGACGAGTCTCCATTCGAAGATGATTAAAATACATAACAATATACCAAACAAAATAAAGGAAATAAAACAACTACAACCGTTTACTGAATATTTATTTTTTAACTGAATAATTGTATTTATAATTCTATCAGTTAGCCACCTAAATAATAAAAAAAACTACTTTATTGCTAACGGTATTATAATATTGACGATTTTTTAAGTTACAAATAGGTAGAATTAACGAAAATGTATAATATATTTGAAAATACATATTATATTACTAAGAGAAGTAAAAAACGTGATATCAGGAGAACGTAACTTTTCTGATAATAACGATACCGATAGTAACAGTGATGATGACTCAAGAATACACAGAATTAACGTATATAACATGATATATGTTTATTCATATAAATGGCAAGATATTACAATGGATTGGGACCCAGAATCAATAAATAAAGGAGAATGGGCAATTTACCATGAGAGGTCGGCTATTTTTGCGTAACCATGCACATTGTTGAAACCGACGGTAAACGATAGAGATTATTTCTAGAATGAGTTGGAAAAAACCATTTTAAAATTATGCCGAAGTTTGAAAATATCTAAATATTTAACAGAGATTTTGAGGTTATAATATTTACGTATATATGAACAATAAAATGAATAATGTATTTCAAACAATCGATGACTACCAGATATTTAATTGCGAAAAAGTACATATCTATACCTACTCGTAGATTATAAAAAGGAAAGATAGTCGGTAGTCGTAGTTATATTGTAGTAGGTAGGTGTATACTTATCGCTCAAGAAAATATTATAACGAATGTCACTAGCAATCTTAAGATATTTAGGTTTTTACCTAATGGAATCTTGTTATATTTATGTATAACACCGCTTAAATACACATGTTTCTTCCTCCATAAAAACTCACGATTAAATCGCAATTATCAATACCCAAATCGCAGTACCCAATCAAGAGTAGCTACGAAATGACACAAATACAATGTCGAAATAAATATTAAACAAACGTATTTATGTACTTGTTTATTGATCATCATTATACAATAATGGAGCATATTTAAATACCATATTTTATAACCATAGCATATTTTCATCTTATCCTTATGCCTATACCAATAAACGAAGTCTATTCTTTAGAATTAGTGATGAACGTTAAATTGGAAATCGTTGGTTCAGTCTGTACGCGTCATATTAAGATGCGCCACCCGGCCGATTGCATTAATTTGCCTCTTATCATTTTTTTTTATGGGATAGGGGGCAGACGAGCAGACGGATCACCTGATGGTAAGTGATTACCGTCGCCCATATACACCTGCAATACCAGAGGGGCTACAAGCGCGCTGCCGGCCTTGGAGGGAAGGGTTGAGGGGTAGAGGGAAGGGAAGAGGGAGGGGTTGGGCCTCCGGTACTCTCACTCACACGACGAAACACAACGCAAGCGTTGCTTCACGTCGGTTTTCTGTGAGGCCGTGGTATCACTCCGGTCGAGCAGGCCCATTCATGCCGAAGCGTGGCTCTCCCACGATCATTTACTTATGAAAATCAAAGTCAAAGTCAAAATAATCTTTATTCAAATAGACTTCTTAAAAGTACTTTTGATTCGTCCCTACCACTAGTTTAGGACGTCTTTTGGCTGATAAGAAGAACGAGAAGGAAACTCACCAGCTCTAATAAGAGTAATGACATTTACAAAAACCATGTCATTACCAGATCAATACATTATAAACAAAAAAAAAACTATGGTCTTATAATGATAACATAATCATTTAATAATAATGGAAACAAGATAATGAGTTTAGAAGTAATCACCTATCCAGTTGCTGCATCATCTCAAGTTCAAGCGTTCTTATCTGTTATATAATCGGATACCTTATAATAAGCTTTTTTAATAAGTATTTTTTTAATAGTAGATTTAAACTGCATGATATCTAATTGTTGTATTTTGCTTGGGACCTTATTGTAGAAGCGCACACAAAGACCCTTAAACGAGTTATTAACTTTTTGCAGTCTAGTGACAGGCACCGTTAATTTATTTTTATTTCTTGTATTAAAATTGTGTACATCACTTTTTATAGAAAACAAACTTATATTTTTACGAACGTACATTAAGTTCTCCTATATGTATTGAGAAGCAACAGTGATAATGTCTATTTCCTTAAATTTCTCCCTTAAAGAGTCCCTAATCCTAAGATTATAAATTGATCGAATTGCTCTTTTCTGAAGCACAAAAATTGTTTGTATGTCGGCAGCATTTCCCCACAATAGGATTCCGTACGACATTACACTATGAAAGTAACTGAAGTGTACTAATCTGGCAGAATCTTTGTCAGTTAACCTACGTATTTTCATTACGGCATATGCTGCAGAGCTAAGTCTACTCGACAATCTATCAATATGTGGGCCCCACTGTAGTTTAGAATCTAATGTTATTCCTAAAAATACTGTGGTATCCACAAGGCCCATGTTCTTATCTTTTATATTAACATTTATATCTACTTTTTTAACATTAGGTAATTTTAAGCATTTTGTTTTTCCTTCATTAAATAGCGTACATACCTTTGTTCAAAAGAAAACCGAAGGAAGTGTTATCTTAGATAGTAATTAAACAATCGATCTTTTTTTCGATACGTAGATTAATTCCTAAGTTTTCTATAATTGATAAGGCGATCAGCTATATCGAGTCTATTGTTGCATGGTTGACATTTTTCCAAGGCCATATCATGACTCTAAATTAGTCAGTTTAGCAATTGTTTTAATACGGTTAATTTTAAACGCCACATAATTTTAAAATAGTATTTATATAGAATATATAATAATTAAAGAGAAGATTTTTGATAAATAAATGCATAGTGCGCAATTTGCATAATTTTAGCCGACTTCTGCTCATTCTCCATTCGGCTGTTTGGATGGATCGCATGAAACAAGGAATGAATTTGAATAAAAATTTTGATTTACCAAAGGTAGATGTAATTTTTTTTTATATTCAATAATCAATTATAAAAAATGAAATTGGATTTGCTACACTCTTAGTGGGTGTTACGTGAGCTGTGCCGTTTTTAACATAGGGAAATGCTTTAAGCACCGTCTTCGCCTCTTGAAAGGTGGCAAGGGGTATGCGGGACTCTCCATCCGCACGGACATGCCCGAAAACTAGTCAAAACGTGTATCGCATACCCACTACACGACTTCCGGGCAAAAGACCATCCTCACAACGGAGTCGTGTTCATTATGATGTAACCTTGCCTGACACTACACCGTAGATATAGTTACAGAATAACATATTCAATGTAATGATTGTCGGGGCAATTCAAAAACTACTATTGTTTCGTTTTTTTACTACTGGGAGAGGATAATATTCCCTGTTATCGTGTTACTGCTCGGAAGGTTTTACTTCTTTCATTTTTTTTCAAACAAATTTGTACTTAATTTCAATAGGATATTACAATCTAGATTTTAAGTTTTGTTTCGTAAACAAATTCCTTGGTCTAAATTGAGTTAACTTTATAATTACTGTGAAAGATTTGCGTTAATTTTAAGTAAATAGTGTAAAATTTTATGTTATCCTACATCATTTTTTTTCCTATTTTGCAAATAAAACATAAATGTAAATAATAAATAAAGTTATTTTAACAAACATGGATAGTTAGTGTGTAATAATGTGCTTTTTATTTTACTATTACAATAAATGAGAAAAACTACAAACGCAGCACTATTTTCATAATTTACATTGAACTAATTTACCATTTTAAACTACAATTAACTAAAAAAAATTGGAAAATGGCG